CTATTAGAGTCTTCAACAGTAACTGATGGAAGAGAGTACATAAATAAGTAAAAATATGAAAGAATCAAAGAATATAATTACACAACTTGTCCTTATTGACAATTATAAAATAAACTACATAACAAAAGCCAGATACATATTCTTTTCAAGTGAACACAAAATATTAACCAATTAGCTCATCTGCTAAGCACTGAAATGAAAGACTTAATAATTTTAAAAGGACTGAGTTCATTATGTGTATTCTTTGACTACAATAATAAATTAACACTTCCAATTAACTCATGGGTCAAAAAAACAAAAATAGAGGAAATTTAGAAGTATTTTAAATTATAATATAATGAAATTAACATCAAAAGCAATTTAAAAGAGTCTTCAAGTATTTATAACAAAAATGAAGAAAGTGGGCCAAGCATGGTAGGATATGCATTATTCCAGCTACTCAGGAGGCAAAGTTTGTGAGACTTACTTCAAAAACATTACGTAAACAAAAAGTCTGGGGGGTTGGCTCAAATAATAAAGCAGTCATCTAGCATGTAAAGGCCCTATATACAGTCCCCAATGCTGCCCAACAAACACATACAAAGGAAAGGAAGAAAATTCTAAAATCAAGTCATCCTATCTTTACTTTAAAAAGAAAATAAAAGCAAATGAAAGCTAAAGATGAAGGAAACAATAAATAATGAAAGTTTCATCATATCAATCAAAAGAAAAAAAATCTTGATTCATGAAAGAAACTAGGAAAACTGATAAATCTCTACCCTGACTAAGAAAAAGAGACCAGAAAAATCAACATGTCTACCCAGAGTAAGAAAAAGACAAATTCCAGTATAAGAGCAACATCACTACCAAAGGTTAAAGGTATGGGCTTAGTATGGCTCAGTGATAGAGGACCTGCCTAGCAAGCATGAGGACCTGAATTCAAACACCAATACCACTAAAAAAAAAAAAAAAAAAAAAAGTAAACTGAAAAAATGCCATTATAAAAGACTTACAGCGAACTTTTGGGGGGAGAGAGGAAGGTGAGGGGACAGGAGTTGAGACAGGGCGTCATGCACTAAGTAATAAGCCTGTTATCGCCAGTGATAGGAATCACAAATAGAAGGACTGAACCCAGGCAATAAAAAGACTCTATCTGAAACTAATCGAGGCAAAAAAGGGTCTAGAGGGGTGACTCAAGTGGTAGTATGACTGCCTTGACTTAGTCCTCTAATCTTACCTACTCATGACGCTGAAATCAGAGGATTAAGGTTTGAAGCCAGTCTGAGCAGACAAATCTCTAAACCAGAATCAGATGAATAGCTCAAGTGGTAGAGCACCAGTGAAAAAGCCAAGCAAAAGCTTGAGGTACATAATTAAAGTCTCTGTACCAACACACACATACACACCCTCCACCCCCTCTAAAAGAACTTGTACCTAACATTATTTGGGGGAGGGGGCAGTAGAGAAGTGTATACCTTAAAGCCCAATGACAACAATCTTTAAAGCAAAGAAATATGTTAGAGCTGGAAATGTGGCTTAGTGGTAGAGTGCTTGTCGAGCATGCATGAAGCCTTGGGTTCAATTCCTCAATACCACATAAACAGACAAGGCTGAAAGTGGCGCTGTGGCTCAAGGGGTAGAGAGCTAGCCTTGAGCACAGAGAGGCTCAGGGACAGAGCCCAGGCCCTGAGTTCAATCTCCAGGACCGGCAAAAGGAAAAAAAAAAAAAGTTGTTATAATGAAAATCACACAAAAAAGAAAGTTTTTAAGCTGCAAAGTGAACAACAGGAAATTGTCAACACAAAATATTATAAGCATAGGCAAAATGTTTACAAGAGTAATAGAAAAATACAAGCCTGGTTCTAGTAGATACTACCTATCACAATCTGAGGGTCCAAGAGACTTTACTTCCAATAAACCAACAAAAGACTAGAAGTAAAAGATATACTAAAGTGGTAGAAAATCAACCTTGAGAGAAAAAGCCAAGGGAGCTCTGTGAGGCTCTGAGTTCAAGCCTCAGTACCAACACAAAAACAAAAAATAATAGAAAATCAGTGGAGTTGAGAAACTAATCTGATATGCTTAAAGTATGATATAGGGTATAGGGCTAAACTGCTGTAAAATGACTTAAATAAGAGAGGTTTGATTATAAAGTAGATTTTGACAATGAGGAACCACCAAAGAAATTTTAATAAGGAGAAAGTTACATATTTCACTTGGAAAGATCACTATATAGACCATCTAAAAGATAAGGCTCAGGCTATTGCAATCTATAGACTACTTCATCCAAAAACAGAATCTATAGTCTTCTCAAGATCACTGACAAAATACTGACACTAAATAAAGCACTTCTAATAACACAGAGTTCAAAGAAAAAAATCTCAAGAAAAATTAAAATATACTAAACTAAATGAAAATAAAAAGTCAACATATCAAAATCCTGTGTAATGCAGCTAAAAGTAGTGCTTAGAAGGAAGATCACAGTATTGAATAGGTTTGTTTAAAAACAAAGATCTTGTAGGGTGCTAGTGGCTCCCGCCTGTAATTCTAGCTATTCAGGAGGCTGAGATCTGAGGATCACAGTTCAAAGCAACCTTGGCAGGAAATTCTGTGAGACTCTTATCTCCAATTAACCACCAGAAAACCGGAAGTAGCATTGTGGCTCAAGAAGTAGAGCACCTACCTTGAGCTGAAGAGCTCAGGGACCAGTGCCCAGGCCCAGGGTTCAAGCCCCATGACTGACAAAACAAAACAAAACTAAAGATCTAAAATTAATAACCTCTAAGATTATACTTATCACAGAAAAGAACAAATTAAACCTAAATATAAGAAAATAAATAAAAAATTAAAGGAGAAACTTATTAACTGAAAACAGGAAATCAATAGAAAAATCAATGAAACCAAAAACTCTTAATCTGAAAATTATCATTGAAATCAGTAAGCCATCTGCATATAGGGAATAAGGGGAAGAAGTTGTTCAACAGATACAGGGTTTCAGTTTTAAGATTAAGAAGGGCCAGAGATCTGTTGTAAAACACTAAGAATACAGTACTGGACTATAAATTTAAGAATGGTTAAAATGGAGTGCAGTGATCCAGACCACGCCTGATATAAAAATAAGAGACTTAAAAACAAAAACAAAAAAAACTAATACTAAAAAGACTGGAGATGTGGCTCAAATAGTAGATTGCTTATCTTGCAAGTAAAAGGCTTTGAGTTCAAACCCCAGTACCCTTCAAAAATGTGATGGGGAATGGTTACAGGTAATATTCTAAGCAGACTATATGGAGATTATAAAGAAAAAAAGTCCATCTAATTAGGTAAACTGAAAGGAAACAAGTTTCACAAGGCAAAAAGAACAGATGAGAACTACATTATGGTCGTGATTTTACTGAACATGGTATAAAAATAAGAATATACAAGACACTATGTTGAAAAAGAACTTTACAACTTGGGGAGGAGGGAGGAGCTGGGGAGTTGGGGTAGGAAGGGATGGTAAGGGAAAAACAAAGGAGGAGGTAACAACCCTTGATAGGAAATATACTCATTACCTTACTCATGTAACTGTAACCCCTCTGTACAGTATTTTTACAAGAAAAAAAATATACAAAAAAAGAGCAAAAATAAAGTACGAGTATAAGATTGAAATGGATGGCGCACTACTCTGTAATCCTAGCACTCAAGAGGAGGCTGAGATAGAAGAACTAATAACTTCAAGGACTGCCTGGACTACATAGTGAGACCAAATAAATGATTGACAGACAGATCAATGAATCAATAGATAGGTAGACAGACAAGCAGAAAGGATGTATGGATGAATGTATGGATGGAGATGAAAAAGATATAAGAACCTCTGTGTAAGATAGGTAGGTAATAGAGAGAGAGAGAGAGAGCGAGCAAGAGAGAGAGAGAGAGAGAGAGAGAGAGAGAGTGTGAGTGTGTGTGTGTGTGTGTGTGTGTGTGTGTGTGTGTGTGTGTATTTCCTGAGGTTTGAACTCAGGGCCTGAGCACTGTTCCCAAGATGTTTTGTTTTGTTTTGTTTTGGTGGTTAGTTGGTGATAAGTGTCTCATGGACTTTCTAGAGTATCTACAGTTATAGAAGCGAGCTACCAGCACCTGGCGGGACATATATTTTAAAGAAAATAGCCATCAAGCAAGTGGAGAAGACAGAATACGAGTGTACCAAGAAAAATTAAAGAAAGGAAGGAGGCTCAGATTATAGCTCAGTTGGTAAGAGTATGTCCTTAGCATGCACATTATAGAGTCTATTTGTAGCAGGCATGAGGTTCTGGGTTTAACCAGGACTTCCTACTCCTTACCCCACCAAACAAAAATAAAAAAAAAAAAAAATAATAATAATAAAAAGGCCAGGCGCTGGTGGCTCATGCCTGTAATCCTAGCTACTCAGGAGGCTGAGATCTGAGGATCGAGGTTCAAAGCCAGCCTGGGCAGGAGAGACCGTGAGACTCGTATCTCCAATAAACCACCAGAAAACTGGAAGTGGCGCTGTAGCTCAAGTGGTAGAGTGCTCGTCTTGAGCTGAAGAGCTGAGGGACAGCGCCCAGGCCCAGAGTTCAAGCCCCACGACCAACAAAAAAAAATTAAAAAAAAAATAATAATAAAAATTAAAAAAATAAAAAAAGGAGGAAGAGGGAGGCAAGAACTGCCAGGAAAACGCCTTGATGTTTCCTATGTTTAGGACTCAAATTCTGCTCTTTCAGAAGAATCCAGAAGTTAAAATATCTTTAAAATAAGCACTTAAACTTTGAATACACACAATCTGACAGACATAAATGTTATTTTGGAAAAGATAAACTTCTAAAATAATATAACACAAGAATCTAATTTCAGCTTTCAAATATGATTTAAGTCAATATTTTAGTAAGTCTATTTAAGAGAACTATCTTTTGACTATTGAAGGATAAAAACTGAAATTTCTTTGAAGACATGTAATATTATTTAAAACAAAATTAGTATCATTTCTAACTGTAACTTCAATGTCTGATAAAAGAATTACTTACAGGGACATTAAGTGCATATTGTAGTCCTTGAGGAAGTCTTTCATGTGTTTCCATCTGCTCTTCATCATTTTTCACTGTCTCCTCATGGACCATGAGTTCATCATGTGATATCATATCCTGCTGTCTCATCTCACTTTCTTGTAACACTTCTTCTGCAGCAAGGATCTCCTGGTGAGGCAGACTTCGATCTTGAAGTACTGACTCTTGCAGTTCTCCAGACACGGTAGATTGGCCAGACACTCCACCCATTACAACCATTGCCCTGGAAGACTGCATTTCGTCTATGCCGCCACATTTAAGAAATAATCCTTCCAGTTTGTCGTCAATGTTCATGCTTAAGTATAACTGCCTAGAAAGACCAAGTTTGGCAACAAAGCATAATGAGTTAGTTTTATATGTCAACATTAAAAAATACTAAATTATGAAAGGTATACATGTAAATAGAAAAAACTTTATTCCTGTAGTTCAGAATTTTTAAATTTCTAGAATAGGCTTCCAGAGACTAATGAAGTAAACCTAAGTTTTCATTTTGATATTAAGGCACTAAATCTTAATCTGTTTTATTACTGAAAAATGGCTGGGCTCATTGGCTCAATTTTGTAATCTTAGATACTAAGGAGATGAAGATTGGGAGAATCAATGTTCAAGACGAGCAGAGCTCTGAATGGGAATGGGGATATGGGAACCATTTCTACCAGTAAAAAGCTGGGAATGGTGGCACATCTGTCCTCCCAAGGATGGGAAAGGCACAGGGAAAAGGATCGAAGTCCAGGTCAACCCCAGCAAAATGCAAGACTCTATTTCCGAAAGAAAGCAAGAAAGGCTAGGGGTGGTCTCAAGTGACCAGACTAGCAAGCACAAAGCCTTGAGTTCAAACCCCAGTATTGTCCTACAAAAATAAACTCAAAATAAATCAGAAAAAATATTTGTAATTTTAGTAATTTGAAGGATTCATATTCTTTAATATATTAAAGTACCTTAAAATAAAAAGTAAAGAGATGAATTCAGTAAGACATATATTGACTGAAAAGTCAAAATAGGAATCCAAGGGGCTAGGAAGGTGGCTCAGTGGTAGAGCGCTTGCCTTGCATGCATGAGGCCCTGGGTTCGATTCCTCAGCACCACATAAGAAAAAAGAAAAAAAACTGAAAGTGGCGCTGTGGCTCAAGTGGTAGAGCGCTAGCCTTGAGCTGAAGAGCTGAGGGACAGCGTCCAGGCCCAGAGTTCAGGCCTTACGACCGGACCCCCCCCCCCCCCAAAAAAAATCCAAGAAGTCAACATTTGAAACAATGTTATATTTCATCTACCACCACTGGTAATAAGTTTTTCTTTAAACAACAAAAAAAAAATACATCCAGCTAAGCAAGATAGTGCATGTCTGTGATCCTAGCACTCAGGGGCAAGAAGGATAATACATTCAAGGTCAGTTTGGGCTATAGCAAAACCTTGTCTCAAAATACAAAGTTACAAAATTTTTAAAATGACACCAAATGTTGAGGTAGTAAAAACTAACAGCCATCTATAGATAAGGAGTAAATTAGATTGACTATTTATTTTCAATGGCCATTTAATAATGTATGAAGTTTTAAAGATGTATACATTCCTTTAGCCTGCATTTAAATTTTTATTTCAGTGAAACTTTTTTTTTTTTAGTGCTAGTTCTGGGCCTTGAACTGAGGGCCTGGGCATTGTCCCTCAGTTTTTTTTGCTCAAAGTTACTCCTCTACCACTTTGAGCCACAGTTTCACCTCTGGCTTTTGGGTGGTTAATTGGAGTCTCCTGGGCTTTCCTGCCCTGGCTGGCTCTGAACTGTGACCTGCAAACCTCAGCCTTCTGAGTAGCTAGGATTACAAGCATAAGCACTGATGTCCAGCAATGGTATGGGGCAATCTTAGTGAAATTTATCCTTTGTGTATCCTAGAAACATACACAAATATATACACAAAAGATGATTACAGTGGTGATTATCATAATGAAAAATTAGAAAAATGTGTTCAATAAAAACAAATAGATTAAAATACAAACCAGGGCTGGGAATGTGGCATAGTGGTAGAATGCTTGCCTAACATGCATAAAACTTTGGGTTCAATTCCTCAGTACCACATAAACAGAAAAAGCCAGAACTGACACTGTGGCTCAAATGGTAGAGTGCTCTCCTTGAGCAAAAGAAGCTCGGGGACAGTGCCCTGAGGTCAAGCCCCATGACCAACAAAAAATACATATATATTTTATTTTTTATTTTTTGTCAGTCAGTGGGGCTTGACCTCAGGGCCTGGGCGTAGTCCCTGAGCTCTTCAGCTCAAGGCAAGCACTACCACTTGAGTCATAACTTTAAACAGAAATCCTCAGATCTTCTCAGCCTCCTGAGTAGTTAGGATTATAGGCGTGAGCCACCAGCATCAGGTCCAATACATATTTTAAAACTACAAGTAATAATTGTTAACTAGGAGACTTTATAAATTTAATAAAACTCATTGAATTATACGCTTTCAATAGGTGAGTTTTACTCTAGATAATATATCTAAATAACTTTTCAATAGTCAAATCAGAACAGTGGGGGTCACCCTTTGGGTACTGAGGAGATATTACTGATAGATATTCAGAAATGGACATTTCAAGGGACCTAATGATGAAAGGAAGTTTAGTTGCACAGGCATGCTCATCCCATTAAGTTTAAAGATGTGAACCTATTACCTGAACTCTTTAGAAATTATTAAAATAAAGGTGAAACACAAAATAATACATGGTCAAAGGAAGGTTTTTTTGGAAAACAGTTGAATATTTGCAACATTAAGATTAATTGGCAAGGGGGAGGAATCACTTTTTTTTTTTTTTTTTGGTGCCAGTCCTGAGACTTGTACTCAGGGCCTATGAGCTGTCCCTGAGCTTTTCTGTTTAAGGCTATCACTCTAGCACAACTCCAGCTCTGGCTTTTTAGTGGTTAAATAGAGATAAAATTCTCACGAATCTTTGAACCATGATCCTCAGATCTGAACCTCCTGAGTAGCTAGGATTACAGGCATGAGCCAAACAAAATTACATGTTTTTCCTTCTATTTAATATTTAACTCTAATGTCAAAACTTCTATTCTAAATGATTACTTTTTACAAATGTTCTTGAATGTGTTAAAATAATTCTTTTTTGAGGGGGCAGTACTGGGGTTGAATTCAGGGCCCCCGGCTTGTTTCACAAAAGCTCTACCACTTTCACTTCACTGCTATCCCTAAAATGACACATCAAATATTATCACTATTAATATTCTTAGTCATAAAACTATTAACTTAATTAATTGTGGTGGTAACAAATTACAAACTAGACACTATAAACATGACTACATTATATTATTTTATCCATTATTACAGAAAGGTCAGGCAATATTTTAAATCTGTTCTTTTAACTTGGTTCCTGTAAATTCATGTTCTATTTGATTATAGCAACTAATGCAACAATAATCATGAAACCCTAAGAAACATCATCACAAAGAAGATCAAAATGTTGTTTACAAAGTAGATTTTATAAGTCACATGTGTATGTATGTGTATTGATCCTGGGGCTTGGACTCAGGGCCTCTCTGTTGTCCTTCCACTATTTTTGTTCAAAGCTAGTTCTCTACCACTTGAGCCACAGCTGTACTTCCTAAAAATTGCATTATCAGATTAAGTGAAATAAATGTAATATTCATCAGCCAAAAGTGAAGGATCTAGAATTAGGAAATGTACTGTTTCAATTTAGTTACTACTTTTCTAAATAAATAATTTAAGATCACTTCTTTGACAATGGCTTTCTATGGTTAGAATTCTAATCACTACTAAAATCAAAATACTGTTTTCACTTACTAAGATTACCAAGGACCTTTACTTGAATAAAAATAAAAACTACATTCATATTTATGTTATAGTCCATGAAAACTTACTAACAGCAGAAAAATAAAAAAATGTAATTCATATTTGCTTTTCATGACTTCCCTGAGACCAGGTATCATCAGCCCAGAATACATATAAGATACTAAGGACCAAGCATATGATTTGACCTTTCAAAATCCTTAAGTAGCAAGAAAATCTTAAAGATCAAAGATTTTTAAATATATTAGAAGATAATTCCCCTCTTCAAATATTCTATTTCATATATTTCTTAGAAAATAAACTATCTACAAGGCACTGGTGGCTCATGCCTGTAATCTTAGTTATTCAGGAGGCTAAGATCTGAAGATCACGGTTCAAAGCCAGCCCAGCCAGGTAAGTCCATGAGACTCTTACCTCCAATAAATCACTAGAAAACTGGATGTGGCACTGTGGATCAAGCGGTAGAGCCTCGCCTTGAGCTGAAGAGTGCAGGGACAGCGCCCAGGCCGAGAGTTCAAGCCCCATGACCGACCAAAAAAAAGAAAAAGAAAAGAAACTACCCTATAAATGAGTGTCTCTTAAGGAAAAAGTTTGATTATTCTGGATAGTTCTTTGGAAATCCTTGCAAATCAATTATAACTTTTTACTAAATTGTTTACTGTTTCTTAAAGAATGTGGAAAGCCCCTGCTTATTTAGGGACTTAGACATATAGTCTTCACTGCAAGTCTTTGTTGCTGTTGCAGTTGTACACATACCATTACTTTGAAAAACTTGTTGAGTTTTACAGAACATGGGAAACATACAGTATTCTCTAAAAGAAATGGACAGTTTACCTTTTGTCACAAGATGCTTATCAGTGAATCCTGTTCTTCCTGGAGCCCAAGATGATTCTAAGTTACCGCAGGAGGAAATGTAAGGGAGGGGGAAAAGGCTGGATGCCCAACTTTGTTAGTTAACAGGCCCAGCAAAAGCATCTTTAAATTGACTTGTACTAGGACAATAAAATATGGTACATTCCCTATATTATTTTTCTAAGAATAGGTTTATTCTGTTTTCTTTTTCCATAGGTTTGTAAAAGTTCTTCTTTTATCCTTAGAAAGTTGTACTTAATTAACTGTGCCCAGAGATGAGCTGAGATGTTATTTAAGTGCCTCATTTGATTTAAAAGACATTTAATAATTTTTTGTGTGTATGTGCCGGTCCTGAGGTTTGAACTCAGGGCCTGGGAATGCTTTTTTGCTCAAGGCTAGTGCTCTACCACTTTGAGCAACAGCTCCACTTCTAACTTTTTTTTTTTTTTTGGGTCCGGTTGTGGGGTCTGAACTCTGGGCCTGGGCGCTGTCCCTCAGCTCTTCAGCTCAAGGCTAGTGCTCTACCACTTGAGCCACAGTGCCACTTCCGGCTTTTTTTCTTTTTGCTTATGTGGTGCTGAGGAATCGAACCCAGGGCCTCAGGCATGCAAGGCAAGCGCTCTACCACTGAGCCAACTTCCCAGCCCCCACTTCT